CCTATGAGGAAAGGCTGAGATACCTGGTACTTCTCAGCCTGGAGAAGGCTCAGGGGGATCTCAACAATGTGTATAAATACCTGGAGGGAGGCTGCAAAGAGGACGGGGCCAGGCTCTCTTCAGTGGTTCCCAGTGACAGGACCAGAGGCAATGGGCACAAACTGAAACACAGGAGGTTTGCCCTGAACATCAGGAAACACTTCTTCACTGTGAGGGTGACCGAGCACTGGCACCAGTTGCCCAGGGAGCTTGTGGAGTCTCCATCCTTGGAGATATTCAAAAGCCATCTTACCTGGACATAGTCCTGGGCAACCAGCTCTAGGTGGCCTTGCTTGAGAAGAGGGATTTGGACCAGATGACCTCCTGAGGTCCCTTCCACCCTCAACCCTCCTCTGATCCTGTGAATTTCCTCCTGTGACAGGGTGGCTGTCCAGAGGCCACCATGGTGACACCACATGGTATCACAATGGTTGCTGAGAAGCTGCTTCTTGGGACCAAGGGAGGGAGAGACAACAGAGAGAAAATGCCCATGAGGTTGGGCATTGAGCACCGCTCAAACCCTACTAATCTATAGTTTCCTGGGAAATCGGGTCGGGCTTTTCCAAAAAGGCCTTAGAAGGGGCTGTCCTAGGCCCCGCTCAATTCTCCGTTCTCCCGATGGCAGAGAAAATACCAAATCTGCAGATGTGCCCAGGTTGGAGGCAGGTTTCCAGCATCCCGGTGGAGGGGCTTGGATTCAAACTGATCTCGCTACATTGCAGAAACACTCCAGGCTCAACCTGCTGGAATTTAATAAAGAGAAGCCCAAACAACCGCTCTGGGGAAGGTGAGCCCCTGTGCACAAACTTGGTTACACAGGGCTCGCCGGAGAGCTGCTGCAGAAATGGACCCGAGGGTGAAGCGCAGCCGCAGGGACATCAGTGGCGCGGTGCTCGTACAAAAAGGCAAATGTTATTTGGGAGAGCGGTGGGTGAGACACGGGGGGTGAGGAGGAGGCTGCGCCACAGGCTCAGAGGGTCTATGGGCTCTGTCTTCAAGCGCTGTGTTTTGAGCTGAATCCGGACAAATGGAGTACAGAGACAGTAATGAAAAGGATGAATTCTGGGGAATGTGGAGAGGGAGGGGTTTTCCAGGCGGCGCTCTGACTGCTCCCACGGTGTCACTCTCTTGGCCACGCAAAATGAAGACAGCATTTAAAAAACTGCAGCGTTGCCCTTTTCTTCACGTTGCACTTCATGTTTCCAGCTCTGTTCGTGCTCTCCTTTGGGGTTTTGTCAGGCTTCGGAAAGGACGTGATGCTGAACAGATTGATGTGACGGCAGGTAGTCACGCACACGTATGTATGTGTACTACATATTTGGTGATTCTGTGGTGCTTTAAGTTTTCAAAGCACTTTGCTAATATTAACCAACCAGTCCAAGGGGCTTGTGTCCCATTGCATTTATGATAAAGCCTGACAGCTGTGTGTCACCTGGCATTTGTATATAGGAACTTCACAGGAGCAGCTTTTATTTTATTAAGACACACACTTTCATCGGAGTCCTAGCAGCCAAGCACTGAGCAGAGTGCATGAGAAGGGAGAAGAAATGAGCATCCTGGAAGATATTTATAGATCTGTGTTCCCAGTCTTTTCCTCTTCAGTATGAAAGCAATTCTACGAACGGATTATTTTGACTGGCTGTTCAAGATTTCTACAGGAGGAGATTAATGTGCGGGAAGCCTTGCAGCACAACTGGAAAAGCTCGCTGGCTTTGCACATTTTCATGAGCTTCATGGCTCACTATGTCAAGGTTATCTTCCTCAGACGGAAAGATGTGGATTTCCAATAGCAATGCAGCAAGCAGAAGGGCTGGGGTCTGACAGCAGCTGCTGAAGCGCAGAATTATCTGTGCCTGGAGAGCACGACTGCAACTAGGGGTTACAGCAGATGCAGGCACCTTTCCACCTTTTCTTTTTTTTTTTCCTGCTTGAGAAAATCCCCTATTTCAAGTGGCCAGGTGGCATATGATGGAGGTGTTTTGCACCAATCTTTCTCCCAGGTGCACAGTGTTTTCAGGTGGTGCCAACTTTGCCAGACCCAGACAGTGATGCTGTGTGTATCCCACAAAAGTGCAGGCAAGAGCCACCCAGATGTTTAGGTCTCAGGGAGAGAGAACAGTTTAATGTATAGGTATGGCAGAAGCTGTCTGCAGAGTCATTTTGGCTCCACCTTAGCTCTCTGTTGCCAAGGCCATTTGCCAAAATGCAAAAAAAATGCCAGAACCTCCTTCCATCCTGCAGCTGTTCCAGCACCAAGGGGTACGAAAAGATAATACTCCCTCCCCAAGGGGTTTCTGCTCTGTCTGACCATATTTACAACAGTGTTGCTCTGCCTTGGTAAAGGGACGGGTCGTCTTCTTCGGTGTCTCTCATGCCCTCTTGATTTCCTCTTCTTTTCCTTAAGCAGAGCCCTCAGAGTGATGTTGCACCGAAACCCTCTCCCAAAACCTGCAGTTCTTATTTTAAGACAGCTATACCAAACAGATTCTTGCTGGCAAAGCTTTTTTTCTCCCTGCACACACAGAAATCAGCTTAGCAAGCCCCAGAGTTGATGTCATGGGGTTTGGGGTTTTTTTCAGGGAGGAGGGTGAAGCCCTGTTTTCCTCCATGCATACACGAGGCGTGACTTTGTAGCAAGCCTCAGCAAGAGGGAGTATTGGGCTGGGTTTCCAGTGAAGCGCCGGTGCTGCCGGTGGGTCCTGTGGCGCCGAGCGGTGCCAGGGGACAGGTGGGAATCAGAAGGGGCAGAGCAGAGGAGCAAAGCAGGGATGAGGACGCAGTGAGAGGCGCTGAGTGGCAGGAAAGCAAAGAGGTGGAAAACAAAGAACAGGATGAGGAGAAAGCAAAGGCATCAACAGCCCAGCCCTCGCAACCTGGCCTGAACATGGGGGTATTTTTTTTTTTTTTTGGTATTATGGCAACTTCAGATCTTAGCAGCCTGATTCCTACCCCCTTTAATATGACACTCCTGCCATACTGAAGCCACCTTTGGGAAGTCTTTGAAAGCAGGGAAGCATGTGCATTTTCGTGGCAAGTTGGAGGAGATCTCAGAGCAGGCTCATCTGCTTTTACTGCCCCTTGTATAAGGAAGCCTCAAGCTGCGTGGTAGGTTTACAACGGTGTAAAACAGGCAGGAGAAAGAGAAGGAACGGTGCCTGCTGTGGGAGGACAGCTGACGTTCGTCCTGCTGCAGATGCCCCGAGGACCTGTCCTGTCTCCTTTGCCCTCTCCCATCAGCAGTTCCCTCCTGCCTGCCCGTGTCCATACACAGGTCCTTTCTTCATGGTCACAGCACTGGTCTCCGCTTGGACAATATTCTCTTTTGACTTAATTCCATAACCACTTTTAGTGATGGGTTTTCCTCTTCAGGAGATTCGTAGAAGCTTATCATTAAATACCATCCTTAAATACCAGCTATGATCCTGTGCCCAGTAGACCACAAAACATAAACTTGGATGCTCAAGTAAGAAAAGGACATTTTTGTGGAGAAAAAGAGAACTTCAGTCCTAATAAAAACATTTGGCCTAATAAAAGGCCAAATCTCAACCTAGACGCTATTTATGGCTTTGCTGCTCACATAGTTGTGTCTGCGTGGACTACAGGGGAAGTACCGTAGAAAGAGGGCCGCCTTCTATTAAGTTAACAAAAGGTCACAATTCACAATGTTAATCACCTACCTTTAAGCCAGCAAGTTTCTATATATTTGTTTGTACCCAAAGTGCCTGAGAGTTTTACATATTTAATAGCACAGATGGTAATAGTTTGCATGATAGTCTGGATAAAACCACCATTGTAGGTAAATGTGTCCCCATTGAACAAGATGGATTCCACAGCTTGGCACCTGCTGGGAAGTCCTACCAGGCTGTGTCCCATCAAGAGAGAGGTAACCAGTTATCTGGCCATGGTTTGGATGCTGGGTGGCACTCAGACTTCTGGATAGCCCGTGGTGGAGTACAGACAGACAGATGGGACAAAAGTTGTCCAGGGCTCAGTCCAGTGAAAATGTTACTTTTATTAGTGTTAAATCCCTGCTAAAGGTAAGGATTTTTCATAAGGCTTTTCCCCATCAGAATATGGGCAAACAGGAGCAGAGTGGTTACGGTTGGCGAGTGATGTGCACTTTGGATGAGGATGCTTCCCAGCGATCTGACAGAAGCTGTGGGACCTTCTGCAGCCATCCAACACCGCAGCCTGTGCTTCCCTGCCATCTCTGCCACAGAGTTGAAGCCAAGGCGTGAACATGCTGCAGCAATTATGTTTGGCCGTATTGGGCTCAGACTGCTAAAATTGGGATACAATTGCAAAGTCTGAGCCTGTAAAATGTTGAATGCTGGCAGCTGTCACTGTCTTGCAGGGAGTTATTTGTAGGGGGAAGGATGCAGGATCCATCCCTGGTAATGAAAGACATTTTTGTGCCCACCCGCAATGCTCACTGTGTTTGTGTACTGCTCATTCAAATATGCCAGATGGATCAGGAGCTTTTGCTTGTGACCTGGAGTCTCCTCGCTGGTGAGGCTGATGGTGATGTGACCAGGAAGGGCACATGTCTGAGAGCAGCAGCGTTATTGAGACACACCAACATTATTTCTCCTCCCAGCTACTTGTGGGGTGGTTGGGCACTTGCAGGCAATGACATGATAGCCTGTCTGGTCTCTTCCAGCCTTTCTGCTGTTCCACACAGCTAGCCAAATGCTCAGATGTACTTTAGATATCAAGGCTGCTATTTTGCTTCTGTGCAGGAAGGGCCATATATATCTTTCCACATTGTATATCTTCTTAGATAACAGACATCTAATCTCTTGTTTCTGTGAACTTCATCTGTATATGATAAGTGAGTGAGTGAGTCTGTGGCTGTGTTGCTCTGACAGGCACCGGACCGCAGGGTGCTGCCACTCTCCTGTGAAACCATAGGAAGTGTGTTTCACTATTCAAGAGAAGAAAGACCTTCACTTCCTCCTTCTGTGCTTGCAGGGCTGAGCTGCCACTGAGGCTGCACCATCCATCCTGACAGCTCATTCGCAAAATGGACCAGGAAACCGTCGGAAGCATTGTCCTGCTCACCATCGTCACCTTGATAAGTGTTGTCCAGAACGGTAAGACAAAAATAAGCATTTATTTAAGAGCTGAAAAAAGTTCAGGATGATGTATGCTGATCTGATCTTTGGATAGATAATTTCTGGTTATAAGTGCGTGTGTGCTTAGGCGTGACTTTGGTTATAGAAATTATCTTCTAAGCATATAATTTTGCATACCATTGTTGCAGTATCTTGGCAGACACATGGTCCTACTCTGTGATATTCTAGAGTGAGTTTGTTATACATATGTCAGCTAATGAAAGGACTAATATGTTGGGGTACCCTGTGACAATATGCATTTTGATTTGATAACTGAGGCCTCCTTTCCTGGCTAAAGCCCCTAATGTGGGCAGCCAGGGCTGCTCTCCAGCTGGACCCCTGCTGCCATGGGCAGGGGCAGGGCCCGGGGGGGCTGCGATGGGCCAGACCTTTGCACAGAGCTCAGCAAAGGGGGCAAAACTGCACCAAGTCATCAGAGTAGTATGTTTGGGTTATCTGTGGGCAGGCAGCTCTCCTGCTTTCCTGCATCTCCAGGTCCTACAGTCCAGCTAATGTCAATTAACTGTGGTCCCAAGAACACTGCGCATTTCCTGCAATGGAGAAGTTTCCTTTTTTAGCTCTTATTCAGACCTCTGTAGTCCCCACTATTCTTCAGAATTCTTTAAATAAAACAACAAGTTTCTCTCTTGTGCAAATCTGGTTTTAACTCGATCATCATCTCTTACAAATACTCAATCATTTTAGTGGGAAATTCTGCCCAGAATACAGAGAAGGGAGTGAGTTTTGCCACAGCTGCACTGAGATCACCCAGGTTCAAGGAGAGTCAGCAATGGGATGGGGGGCTGATGCAAATGGCAGAAATCTTCTGTGAAGGCTTCTTGGTACAAATGAGAGGTTCCCACTGAGCGCAAACCCCACACTCGGTCTTGGGAAATGGGCTATTGGGCTCCTGCAGAGAGGGGAAGTGGTGGGAGCCTCAGCAGAAGTCTGTCTGCCAGAGAGAGAAAAAAAGACATGCAGACTGGTTAGTTTTGACATAGGCATTAAATGCTGCTTCATTTAACCCAATGCTGTTTTCCGGCAAATGCACGGTGTGTGATGTCACCAGAATATGGCACATTGAGATCAGAGCATATACCACAATTAAAAAGATCTGTCAAATACACATTTCTTGCTATTTAACCAGATGACTTCATGTACAGTTTTCTTCTCTCACTCGGAAACGTGGGCATTTGCCTTACAGCCTGACACACACTTTCACCTCATGGAAATCTCTCTCTCAGATAATTGACCCAACTGCTGCAAACGGGCAGCATGGCGCTTGGCAGAGGACTTAGCATGCCGAACACAAGTGGCACACAGCCCTAAACCATGATTTCAGACCTTGTGTCATCTGATTTCCTCCTCCCAAGCTTTCTGTCTAGAAAGACCCAACTGATTTGCAGTCCTGCAATGAATGCAATACTTAAGGCAGTAGAAATGCTTGTCAAGGGATATCAGTTGTACTGAATTCTTGCTATGGGTCTGGTTCAGCAAAGCACTTGGGCATCTGCTTGACTGTCTTTAAGTACGTGAAGTCACTTCCATGTCACTTCAGGCTTATATGCTTTTCTGCATCTGGTGCAGGATTAGAAAACAGTTTGGGTGAATGCTGTTATTCCCGAAGCTGGAGGTGGGCTATGGTGCTGCCCCAATCTGACATCCATTTTCTCTCACCTTGTTCGTGTTGGGAATCTACGTGTCGGAATATCCTACAGAATGAATTGTGTGGCTTCCTGCTGCTGAGTCACACATCTAACTTTAGGTTTTGTTCTTGCATCAGAGAGATGTTGCAATTCAGCAGCTTTCAGGGCAGATCAGTGGTCATCGCTGAGCAGATTGGGATGGAGGAAGCAAAGTGAAGTCAACGGAAAGAAGGGGCAATCTGCATGTTTGCCAGCACTCACTAGGTTGGAGCTTCAGTGCACAGTTTCTGTTGGCATGAACTTGTGAAACAACCAGGCTCAAAGTGAACTCTTGTACATTAACTTGACCAGAGGGAGACAGCAGTGGTTCAGGCTCAGGGCAGCCTGTACAGCACTGGAGCTTCAGGTCGTCATCTCCTGGTGCAGCTGAGCTGAATTAAACCCCTCAGCTCCAGCCCTGCTCTGCTCATTTATCTCATGCTGGCTTGTGAAACCATCCTCTTGCCTTGAGGTTCAGAGCAAAGAGCAGGAAATATAACCATGGTGTTGCAAGGTGTTTCACATTGTAGTCTCCCATTTCCCCAATGCCAGGTTAACAGGAGCCCAACATTGCTGAGATGTGAGCACAGACCTGCAGCGAGGTCCATCCCAGATGTGATCTGTCAACTCTGCTCTGGTCCTTTGCACAGCTTCAGCCTGGCTGAGCCTCAGGCAGCCAGGACCCACCTCTTGGGTTGCCTTCTGGGGAGATTTTGAGAGCCTTCAGTGTGTGTGAGGTTGACAGGCTAAAGAGCCACTTTCAGGGAGAAAAGCTCACTTGAAGCAGGAGGCTCTGCCTCTCCATATGATGGTGAGATGCTGGGTTCCCTTCTGATTCACTGCCCTCACCTTGGGGGTCCACATGGTCCTGAGGAAATACAGCTGCTGCAGTGGGTTGGAGGTGATCAACCCAAGCATTTTCTCTTGCAGAGGTAGACAACTCGTGTGAGGTGGTTGTCTAAGCTCTTTCTTGAGTCAATGGAGAAAGATCAGCACTTCAGTGGGGTTCCTCTCATGCCAGTAGCTCTCTGAGGGATGGATTGAATTCTGGAGGTGCCTTTCCTCTGTTTTTGTCTGTCACCCACTGTTTACAGAAGGAAAACATCCATCCCCCCAACACTTCTCAATGTCTCTGAAGTGAGGTAAGACAAAGCCTGCTCCTCATCCATGGTGCGGGTATACATGATAACCCTACCTCTGTCCTTTGCCCTAATGCCCGGTCCGTTGACCAAGAATCCATACACCATGTTGGAGACTGCAAGAGCTTCCAGGACAGATGTATGGACCTCCACAGCCAGGTCCTTCCCAGGAGACTCAGCAGCCCCATGCCTGCTCAGCCCTGATCCCAGAGACTGTGCACCAGGAGTGTCACCACTGGCACCTCCAAGTTCTTGTCCTCAGTGACCACAATCACATTGCACATGTCTGGTTCAGCCTGAGGGCTCTCAGCATCGTGAAGCCTCTCTGCAGTGGCACACTGGTATGTGGGAGGTGGCAGCACCTGTGGCAGCAGAGAGGGATATAGAGAGAGAGAGCTTACTCCTGGCTTTCTCTGAAGCTGTGGCATCTTCTAGTGATTTCACGTACATGCTAAAGGAAGGGAGGAGGTATGCTGCATATCCCAGTTAGCCCATGCAGTCTCAGACCTGCAGGAAGTGGTTTCCAATCACAGCAGCTTTGCACTGTACAAAAAATTGCCGTCCAACCTAGTCCTCTTCAACTAGGTCCTCTTAGACCCCATAGGAAAGTTAATAACCCCATGCCAAAGGGTGGAGTAGTGTGCAGGTGGAGATGCCGGGAGCTTTTAGTGGCTGTGCTGTCTGCTCTGGGTCCCCCAGGGCCAGCTCCTCCAGGAGCTGGCCAGTGCACCGCGCTGGTGGCAGTGGGAGGGTCTGCAGCCTGGCTCAGAGAGGAGACACTGGCTTGAGGCACTGCGGGATTTTCTGGAGAAAGGCTCTATGAACCCAGGGAATATTGGAAGGCAATACTGGAAGGCAAAAAACTCAGTAGCTTTTAGTGAAGGCAATGGAAGTTCAAAAGGCCTACTTACAGCATCAGTGAAGGGAAAAAAGAGGTAACACTTCAGATTCCAGGGGTGAAATCCTGCAGCTTATCAAGTTACACTTCTATTGTTATAATAATGTGTTTCCCAATGGGTTATCTTTTTTACATATCTTTGGCTAATATTCGAAACCATAGAGTCATTTGGGTACACTGAGATGGGACTCATGATAATACAAAGCTTGCAGCCTGTAGCCTGTCAGGGCTCTGTCTGGTGTATTTAGACACATGATTGATGGTCTCTGGTTTAGTGTCATCAGATAAAACATGTTTGTCAAGTTTACATTATCTTGAGTTGCTGGATTTTTGCAGCAGCTAACATGCTGATGCAATGCTGTCGCTTAAAAGGAGGACAGACACAAGATGAACACATAGAGATCAGCCATCAGGACCAGGTTTTCAATGAGCCTTCCCGGAAAATGAACCAGCCCTGCAGGAGAGCAAGAATTGGGTTTGGCAGCTCTGTCTAGAAAGCTTTTTTCCCACTCAGGGCACAAAGGACTGAGTCTGGGCTGTACTTCTGCAGCAGACAGAGGTGAGGGCTGCTGGAAGTGCAGTGTGGGGATGAAGCGGGGCTCAGAGGTGAAAGCCTGCTGCCAGTCACATACAGACATTTGGGGATGTCTGAGGTCACATCACACTGCGCCCTTGCACAGAAGGTTTGGTTATACCAGGGTGACAGAGCGAGCACCCTGGCCACATCCTGCACCTCTATGCACCCGCATCCTTTCCTGCCATCCAGCCTGGGTGCTCATGAGAACAGAGCTGAGCCCATAAAGCCCAGCTCCTGCAATATCTCCAAATTACATATTGGACTGAACACTGTGGTTTTTTAACAGCTTTTTTTGCTAGCAAAGTGGAGCATGAAAGCAAACAATGCAACAGCAAGGGGTTCCAGCGGCCAGGATCCTCCGCCTTCGACCGCGTCTACACTGCCAAGTGAGTAGGCAAGCCCTGAGGAGCTAGTGGGGGTAGAGCAGGGTTTGTCTCTCTCCTCCTTAGGGTTTAATCCAAACCCTTTTGGGATCCTGACTTTATTCTGCAGTCCCATTGCTGTGTGCATTGCAGCAGCGTTTAGACCCACGGTTCTCCAGTGTGCTTGCTGTACCCAGCTCCTTTCTGGACACCAGGTGCTGTATTTATACTGGACTTGCAGCCGTTATGTCTATTATGTCCCTTAATTTGGGAGCCTATTCACCCAGCAGTAGCTAATGCTGGAAGTGTGATATGAGCACACCCAGGGTCCCAGGGGCACTGCGGCTCAAAAGGAAAGAGCTAGCAGAGAGATGCTGACTTGCCAAGGAGCAGGTTGGTGGCAGAGCTTGTACAAACCCCTCGGTCCCCGGAAAGATCCCTTGGCACGTGGCTCTCCGTTTCTCTGCCACATCGGTATCTCTTGTCTTTGACATCCCTTCAGGGAGAGCAGAGGGAAAATGAATTCCAACCCAGAAGAGAAAGAACATAAAATATTTTTTATTACCCATGAAGTACTGGCTATGTGCTTGAAACTGGATGGGACATCCAAGTGCTGCCCTTCACAGGTGTGCAACCTCTGCCAAGGGCAGAGGGCTTCCCCCTCAGAAAGCGTTCCCAACTGAAAGAGGCAGCTGGAAATCATTCCTGTTCCCCTGCAAAGACACATGTTAACTCTGTGAGACATTCTTACTTGTGGTGTGATTCTCCTTTTGTTGGTTTCGTGCGGCTTTCAATGCCACTAACTTGATTAATATGACTTAAGTACAAGGATTTTCCTAACCAATAAAGCACACAGCACCTATTATACGTGTGCCATGATCAAACAGGTTAGAGGAGGAAAGAGGCTTTCACAGGTGCCAGGCGTGTGCGCAGGGTGGTTTGTTTTCCTCCTCAGGCAGGACAAAGGCATCCATTATCCAGGTGAGGACACAGGGAAGCAAACCTGCGGGCGAGGCAGCCACCGTGTTTGGGCATGGACGCGCCAGCCAGCCCCTGGCAGCTGCCTGCCGCAGGCAGATCGGGGGCCTCCCGCTGCTCTGGGGTAAAAGCCCACCCACAGCGGTGTTAGCGCAGCCCAAATTCGCACCCCACCATCCTTTGCCAGTGAAACATGTTGATTTTGTTTCTATTTCCCCGCGGTCTGATTTCTCTCTGATAAATTCCTTTCTAGCCAGAACTGCGGACACACGTACCCTACGTTCCTGGCCATGCTTTGGTGCGCTGGCCTTCTCTGCAGCCAAGGTAACACACAGGTTTTTTTCCCTCTTCAACCTTGCATCACTTTCAGCAAGGGATGGCAGGTGCTTCAGCGGTTACACTTCCAGGGACCAAATTCTTCTGCAGCAGTGGGACCAGTCTCACCTGGCTGTCCTGCAGCTGCCCATGCTGTTTAATTAGCAGCATACTCCTTGGCATGGTTGATGCCAGCAGACGTGTTCCCAAACACCATTCAGGACGGTCTGTGCCAGGGACATTTCCCATAGAGGCATTATGGATGAGATCCCTCTGTTTTGGGTGGAGGGTTTATTACTTGGATGCTGGATGCCACATTATTCACCCTCGGGACTGAAAATGAGCTCGTTTGATTAAATTGCCAGAACTGACAGCCCTTCCCAGCCCTGAGGGCAGCCCAGGAGTATTTACCTGCATTTCTAAATATGATCTCCTTCAATGCAATCTGAGTTGTCCTAAAGTTAAGATGAGTACTTTCCTGGGGTCCGTGGCAATTCTTTCTGCAAGAGAGGAGCTTCTTGACCAGGAGAGGGGCTTTTGCCTGCAAGTGGGGGGAAAGCTAGAATTAGGGGGAAAAGAGGAAAAGCATGGGTTTCTGCAGCTGTGGACAGGATTACACCCACAAGGTCTTCAGAAAAGCTGGTGTGAGAGCAAGGCAAGTGCTTTTTTTCCCATGCAAAGGCCTCTGTCCTGCTTCCAGTGCTCATCCTGTAGCCCAAGGCTGCAGGTTCCCATTTCCCGGTCCAGCCCAGGCAGCAGATGGGGACAATACGTACAGTGAGCCCCGGGATGGTGTTTGTAACGCTTGCTTTACCCTTTACCCAGCTCCTGCCGCCTTTGCCGGCCTGATGTACTTGTTTGTGAGGCAGAAGTACTTTGTGGGCTACCTCGGGGAAAGGACTCAGAGGTAAGGACTTGCAAAGCCTCTTCACAAAACGTGGGATGCAGTGGCAGCCCAGCCAGATGCTGCCACTTCCACAGGCACAGCCGCCAGCTCACGGTGCTGCCTGCGATGGCTGCTTGCACAGGGCAGCGCAGGAAAGCCCTCCTCTTCTGTGTGCACAGGAGGAGCTGTGGGAGAGGCAGGGGGTGCAGCGGCACTGGGGTCAGGGGAGCTGCAGGAACAGAGCAGCTGCTTCAGCAGCTCCTGCTCACAGCCTCTGCAAACCTACACATTCGCGTATTTGTGCCACTATTTGCACAAGATTATCCTTTTATATTAATAAAGTTCATTACACACATGTGGAACGAGATTGTCCCACAGCCTGTGATGGCTGAGAACACATACAAGTCCCTCTGAATAGCCACTTTTGTGAGCAGCAGTCTATGCTGAGCACAGGAGGACAAATCCAGACCCAAATGGATCCTGAAAATGGCATTTAAGAGCTCACAGCTGCAAGACAGAGCAGAAATTTGCCCCCTCTGTCTCAGCCCCTGAGGTCTTTCAGCTGGTCTCAATGGCAGAGTCCAAAGTCTGAGGACTTCTCACATGAGGTGACACATGTTAACAAATTGCTTCTCCCCACTTTCTGTCTCCTCAGCACTCCCGGTTACTTGTTTGGAAAGCGCATCATTTTGTTCCTGTTCCTCATGTCCGTGGCTGGAATACTCAACTACTATCTCATCTACTTTTTTGGAAGTGACTTTGAAATGCACATAAAAACGATAACCGGTGCGATCTCTCCGTTGCTGCTCATCCCCTAGCTCCCTGCAGCACTTCGGGGGTCAGCATGCTTAATATATCGATACCCAGAAGCAGCCATAATTCAACTGTTTAAGAAATGAACCTGTAACCCTTTTAGATTGCTGTAAATCTCATGCTTGATGGGCTTTGTAGTTTGATTTAACCTTGCTTTTTGCTTTAGGAAAAAGATTTATTGTGAGCACTCAGCATGCCCAAGGAATGGTAATAACTTCCAGTTAATTCTTTAGAGTTTTTTCCCTAAACTGCAGCTTGCAAGATGACTGCGTGACTGGAAGGGACATTGTATGCTTGCTTCATAACTGCGTTGTACTTAGCTCTGATCCCAAAACCCAGGAGCCTCTCAGTGTCGTTCCTGACCGATGGCTCCTGCAGTTATCCTCACGCATGGGCACAGCCTTTCACCAGCATCCCGCACACCCCTGCCCATGCAAAGGCATGGACCAGCCCCCTTACCTACCCTTTCACTCCCACTTGTTGATGACCAGGATCCCACTGCTTCAGGAGGATGGCAAATCGGCCCCTGTCTGCTCTTTCTTGATAAATATTCAAGTGCATAAGGCTCCTGACACTGATCTGATGTATATATCAGCCCATTTGTTCTCCCAGAGCTGTGGAAAGGGGTCTTGTGTAAATGAGGAGCTGCTGTATTGACATGGGGGTTGGTTTGGTTTTGCTTGGCTTTGTTTAATAAAGCAGTCTAAAAGGATGAAATCTGTTGAATCTCCTTCACCTGCTGCATGATCCTGATGCTCCACGGCTCGATACAGGAGTCAAGGGGAGCAGCAGTGGGCTCTTTGTGCGAGCTGCTAATCACCCCCGGCACAGCCTCACAAGGACGCACGTTTAACAACTCCCTCTCTATTAGCAAGTTCAATTTTCTGCCTCAGTCACTAACAATGTGCCCCTACGAGTCCATACTGAGGAACGGTTTGATTAGAGAAGCGGACCGAGGTAGGCAAACAGGCTGGCACAATCTTTTTTAAACATTGCTTCCCTACGAGTGCTTAAGCTCTTAAGCTTGTCTGATTATCACATGCAGGATGGATAAAGCTGTGTTTTATGACTCCTTTGGGAGGGACAGAGACTCCTTGCTACATGAGGAGAAGGTTTACAGAGCTGTTTGCAAAAGGAGGTGCAGAAAGGCGCCTTCCTTTGTACTACCGCAAAGCTCATGGGTTTTGCTCCTCCCCAATGCATGGCAGAGGCACTTGGGCACGGCTGCTCTCCTGAACACCTACCTCCTCCATCTCTACATCTGACCATTCCCAGTGCCAAAATAACACACACTTTTTTTTTCTCTTATCTTCTACAGGAATTTTAGATGTGAAAGATTACTAATAAACATATTTATTGCATGATGATTAGCTAATAAATGTTCTCACTGGTTAGAATAGGTAGTTAAAAAAAAAAAATTGTCTAACCTCCTAACCTATAGCTGCTGAGACATCGTATTCGCAAGCACAGCGTTTATGTTCCTTCCCTCTGCTCCCTTTTTCAAACCACTCTGACACACTCCAAACCCTGCTTCACACCGTGCTTCTCTGCCACCCTCTCTCTCCATAGCTCATCAGCAGCCGTCTATCCTTGGTGGTGACCCACCACCCCTCTGCCCCGTGGGGTCAGCCCACCAAGGGATGGCAGCACCTCAGGAGGACAGGGGTAACCCCTGTAACAGAGCTCTTCCATTTTGCTGGTATCAGCAAAGGCTCATGCTGCCACCACCGTTACCCAGTTCAGAGGAGGAGATGCTCCACCAGCACCACAGTCCCTGCTCTCAAACCAGTCTGGTCTCCCTGAGGTCTGAGACTTGTTTATGGAGACCATCGCTTGTGGGAAGTGGCTCTCCCAAACCTATGTGTCCACCTGACAGGTCTCGCCAGCTGCGTGATCTCCCCTGGTACCTTTTTGTCCTCTATAGCAAGAAGCATCTCACTTGACCTCCTTCTGATGTCTCCTGCTAGCATGAGAAGAGGTGTTCCACCAGCCAGCTATAAAGAGCAAAAGATTCAAATGTCATTTTGGGTCAGATAATCCATCCCAGCATGCTCAGGCCTCTCTGTTGACTTGACGGTTGGTTTCTACACAGCTGTTTTTAGGTGAGATCAGGTCATCTTCCAAGAGAACTAAGGCCCATCTTTTGCTGTAATAATTTATTTTGCAAGAATATCTCCTACTTACTTCCTCAAAGCCTTTCTGATAACAAAGGAGATGAACATGTAGGCAAAAACTATTTTCCATCTAGCTATAAATGCAAATGGTAGTAGTATCAGAAAACAGGTGGTACATAAATTGACCACTATGTAAATTCTCTGTGAATGTCACGCTGTGTTTTCCATGTTACAGACAAGCCTTGTGGCTGCATTTGCCTTCCCACTGTTTCTGTGAAAGGAAGGCAACATCAGTGCTATCTGGGCTTTCCCCACTGTCTTACATAACTCCAGTTTTTGTTTTCAGCAGCAAAACCACCTTGATCTGGGCTGCACAGTTGCCAGCACCTTGCACACCAGCTACTCAGAAAGCCAACATAGGCTCATTGCAGGGTGGTTGGACTAGATGACCTTTAAAGGTCCCTTCCAACCCAAACCCTTCTATGATTCTATGATTTATAGATGCACATGCAAAAATACATACGCTACTGTAAAAGATGTATGGGTGCATACTAGGGTCACATACACATGAACTCACTGGGACCTACTGAGCTGCATTGGACGTGGGGACATCACTGGTGGCCAAAGTGGCAGTCCCCTCTGACGGCTCCTGTTCAAGACTGGCTTGCAAGCTCCGGGGACCAGCACCTGTGTTTGGTGCGGCGCACGGCACGACAGCTCCTGGCCTGGAGCCGGGGCTGTATGCGAACAGCTATCACTTTCGCATCCTGCTGATTGCGGAGATGCTGCTAATTGTCCTGTTCACCATGTTGCCAGGCTGTGGGCTTTGCTCCACCAGCAGTGCCCTGGCTCCTTGCGATTGCGTACCACCGCCACGCCGTGTGGCTGTTCGTGCTTCGAAATCCCGGGTACACAAATAAACATATTGTCTGTGTGCGTACACGCATAGACACAGTGTGTTTACTTACTATATCTCTGTGTGTGTGTGTGTGTGTGTATATGTACATACATATATAGTAGGTGCTGAGTCATGCGAAGGCTGGAGGCTTTTCAGGGAAGGCAGGGAAGTGGGTTGCTCAGGCACCAGCCCTCTCGCAGCTTGCAGGCTGTGTACATCAGAGACTGCGGCGACTGCTGGAAGCCGGGCTATTGCAGGATGCTTTTGATCTGCTGACAAAGGCCTGGAGTACATACAACGTTCCTGCCACAGTAACCGTATCTGCTTCCGCACAGCACTACAACCCTCTAGTGGAAACTCAGCCCTATTGGCACGCAAGTGCTTCTTACCACAGAATGAGCCGTTCCTTTGAGGTTTGAAGCCTACCGGTGATGCAACGGCGTCCACATTTCTGAACAGATGCGTTGTTGCGATTGAATACTATTTTTTACTCTTCTGGCATGTAGAAACCCCAGTCCTGAAGCAGGACCACCATCCTAACCATCACAAAGCGAGCAGTCCTGCTTAGCACAGGGGCTGAGCAAGCAGGTAATATCCAAGTGGGATAAGAAATCTGTGTGCACCACCCACAAGAGTTTCCTGCAGTATTTCCCAGATTCCCAGTTTCCCAGAACTTGCAAAATCAGCCTGTGCAGTATCAGCTCGGTTTGAGTCACTTCTACTCCAAGTCAAGTTTCCAAATGAGTCTCTGAGGATTGGGAGAGCAGTTCTGCTGGCGTGGAGTAAAGACTGGCCCTGGGCAGTTTCTTCAGCTCTCACCTGCTCTGAGATTAATTCCTCCTAGCAGAGCAGCTGGTTTAACATTCACAGAAACCTTTCAAATGCCCTGTTGGGGTGGCATGCTGCAAAGCATGGAGCACTGGCCCAAGTCAGCGCTGTGCCTTTTGCAGTCCGCAGTGGGAGCAGGATTAGGCCATGCAGGGAACACTTGGAATTAGTCCACCCTTGATAACTGAAAGAGCAGTACAGAATGAGAATAGTGGTAAAACGATTCCCTAGTTGATTTTAAATGGGTCTCATGTCCCAGCTGGAGTGAGCAGGGTGAGCATTCCCATGGAAAAGCCCCTCGGTGAGCTGCAGAGCCCAGCAGCGCCTGCCCAGTGCCCTTGCAGAGGACATGCTGACACCCAGGAGGGGGAAGGACCTTGGAGGCTGTGACGTCCCTTTGAGGCACCCAGGGGACATGTACGAGCTCCACTGTCCCTTTGGGTAATGAAGACTGCTGTCCCTGGGGCTGTTGGGGAGGGTGCAGGACACGTCAGCTGTGGCTCCTCTCAAGGCGGTTCGGTGCCTCGAGGGATTAGGATGGAGAAGCATCCTCTGCACCACTAACTGGCTGCAGCAGAGAAAGCTGCTTTTAGCAGCGCTGCCATAGATGCCAGAAAAACGCGTCCCATGGAGAGGACCAGCTCGAGCTGATGCCCGACCTCTGCCCCTCAGTGTACCTGCCCCAGCGGAGGGAGGCTGCGGGCTGGAGAGCGTCAGCACTGCTCCATGCATCCTGCCTGGCAGAGCATCTCGCTGCTCCCAGCCAGTGCTCAGACACGGAAGATAGCAAAAGTGAGATTCCTGCCCCAAAGGACAAACAGCCTCCACAGCGGGCTGTTTCCTCCCCTTTAGAGGAGAAATAAATAACTTTTCAATTTCAGCTGTGAGGATCTTCACACTGCGAGATGATTTCATCAGACAGACGAGCTCCCGGGGTTTCGTGCTGGCTGCCTACTGAGTTGCTCGGATGCTGACTGCTGGGCACTTCCTGCTCGTCCCCAGGGGAAGGGGATCAGACACCAATGGGCCAGCCATGGTGTGGGATGCAGAGAGCGAACAGGGTATGGGTTTCACTTAAAAAAATAAAGTTGTGATGGCATTGCTGTGGAGTTAAACTCACGGTTACTGCAGTGCTGTTTCTGCCACGTGGGAACTGGCAGGGACTGCTTGCACGCTGTGACCTTTTGCAAGGCCAGGGGATGCTTCGGGAGGCTTAGGAGAGAGGGGCTGCCGCCTGCTGTGCTACTATTTGCCACCACTCATACAAGCATATGGTTGATTTATTGTTCCTGTGTTTTCCCAAGAGACTGTCACCGCTGCATTCATCCCCAAACAATGTTTTCTGTGCTTTTGGCACAGCACTTCAGAGGGGGACAGTCTGACCCAGCAAGAGCCCCCTCAGTGCTTTGGGATTAAGCAGAGCAGCACGATGTCTCCTAGCCAGCTGCTTCATGCTTTTTGT